GCCACAACGCCTGGCCATTTTTTGGTTTCAGCCATCATTGTTGTTTGGCGGGCCCGGGCTGGGGATTCGAACCCTCCACCTTAGGTGTATGTGGCTGGCGCCTTAGCCGCTTGAGCCACAGGCGCCGAGCCACTGGTCAAAAATCTTAGGAAAATGTAAGAGATTATTGGGGGAAAATGTATATTAAAAGTAACCCCTTGAACTCAGTACAGAACCCCTTGAACCCATGATCAGGGCCTTTTGTGAAAAAAATGCAGATCCTCTTATTTATGAGGACTGTGCATATCCCTTCTGCTAGATTCATTCTTAGCCATTAGCTTCTTAGGTGTCGTCATAGCTTTCATAGGCAAAAAGCTGTTGGTCCTGTTCTTTCTCCTTTTTTTTTTTTTCTTTAACTTCTAAAACTTCAAACTAGTTTGAAGTAGTGATTTTTTATTCTCTTCACTCATCTAAAAGAAGTGTAGATTTATCCTATATTGATGCTTCTGATGGGTTCTGTTAGAAATTATGTGGTTAGTATTCAGGCCCAGATAGGTAAAGAAGGAAAGAATTTAAATTTGCTGCAGTTTTATTTTGCTTAATGGAGACGCAGTAAACTGAGAGGAAAAGGGAGGAAGTGACTATCATAGGCAGGTGCTGGAAGGAACTTGGCCAGTGTGTGAAGAGGTAGTTTTCTTCATAGTCTCAGATTTTCAAGGACAGAAGCTCCATAGTGTGAAGCCCTCGTTAGGAGTCATGGCCATACTCACATTCTGCACGGCACACTGCACTGCAGTTAAGCTGGGGGTGAGGGCTGAGGTGGTTGCTCTCATTAAATTGACTTTTTATTAGGTGTCCATGGCCCTAGAAGGGTCCAGAGTTGTTTCTTGGCAATTGCTGCTTGCTGCCCAGAAATTATTCTTTATTTTTATATATATACACACACGTATATGTGTCTGTATGTTCATGTATGTATATATACATAATATAAATAATACATAATATATAGTAATAAATAGTACATAAGTAGTGCATACCTGCTTCTCTTGGCTAGGAAATGTGGTAAAAGTTCTTGTGATGGTTTTCTTGTGGCTGTTTCTAAGGTTGACTTTTTTTTTTTTTAGCATGTGACTTGTTATTACCTTCCCTTTTTCCTAAATTGTATCCCATAGAAATACCTCGAAGTTTCTGATTTGGATATGGCATCCTTGTCTGTTTGCTATTAGTAATAAACATTTTCCCTAAGTTTATTTTCCTGTGTTCATTTTACTGGGAAAGTAGA